AAAGAACCCTTCTCCACCAAGCGTTTGGGTCCCCCCGTCGGCCGCGGCTCCCGCCCTCTGCTCCCAGCCCAGCACCGGCCTCTCCTTGGCACTCAGAGTCTGAGAGGAGCGTTTGAATGAGCAAAGTCTCCCTCTGCACCTACGGGACGAGGGGGGCCCCTGGAGCTGGCCTGGCATAAAAGGATGTCCTATGTGCTGGTTTGTGACCCTGTAAGAGGCTGGAGGAAGGGCCCTGCTTCCGTGGTGGAAGGGCAGGTCCTGCCTGGTGGTGGAGACTGAGTCAGACTGTGGCATGGAGGTGACCGCCGAGGGCTTGAGAAGTAACAGGCTCCGTGCTGTAAAACCTCCGGCCTTTTGCGACCTTGAAACACCCCTGCCGCTGCCGAGGCCCAGTGAATGCTGGAGAGAGGGTGTCGCGGTTACAGGTTCGACTCCCCCACCCCTCAGCTCAGCTGAAGCCAGAGAAGAGCAAAGGAGACCGTACCCGTTCTTAGGAGCGATTCGGGAAGGGATGGGGGAGAGGCCTTTCGGGGTACGCCCCACGTAAGGGCCCAGGCCCAAAACCTATTTCCTAAGCCGGCCCCCCCAGGCTTGAGGCTGTGGTTGTCTCACTCAGGCCTTGGCTGTGAGCTTGTAGCAAAAGGGCTCCCGAGAGGAGGTGGTGACAGCCTGGTATCCCGCCCCCAGTTCCCTCCTGCCGTGTCAGTCTGCAGCTAAGCCCACGACTGTGGTGGGGGCTGGATATTCAGGAGCATCCTTCAAGGAGGTTTTCTAGTGGGTAGCATATAAATGTGGATTGTAATGACTTTAACGTGACTGAAAAGGCCTGGACCCGGGGCTCCTACGCCCTGCAGCCTGCGCTGCCCCCGTCCCAAGAGACCCCGCGGTGCCACTGCCCGGGGCCGGGCTAGTGGGGCTGGGACTGGCCGGCCGAATGAGCAGAGTTCCGTGTGCTGGGGCAGCCGTAGCATGGCCGGGGAGAGCAGGGGTCTGGCCAGCGGCAGGG